AAAATTTATTTATGTTTTCTATTTTATAGGAACAACACGTCGGTCATCATCAGCATCTTCAATGCAACTTGTTCAACAAAGTGCTCGTACTTATCTTCGTTTATATTCTCAGCCATATGAACAATTAAAACAATGTGAAGAAAACATTTTACAAATGATTCAATTAGAATTTGGTGGTCAATTAACTACGATTGGTGATCAACAACCATTTGTTAATACACTTTGGTCATCAGATAAGACTAAAGCATATTCATCATGGTTTTATCGTATCGATAAACATCTTAAAGATTTAAATGATGTTTATGAAAGTTTTCGTCAGGTACAGAGAAAGGTTTTGTTTTTAAATTATTTTTATTGAAAGTCATTCATAAATCATACTGAAAGACACTTGAATTCGAATGGTTGGTATATATTGTCGAGTTTTTCTTCGATAACGATTTTTTGTTCTTTGAAAGTTTCAAATGAGTTATTGAGAAGAGAAATTTTGATTATAACATTTTTCTAGTGGTTAGAAATATGTAGAACTTTGCTGGAGGTCAATTACATCATATTCTTGAAAAGTCTTTCTTCAAAGAATCAAATATTTTTTTTATGCCGAAGGAAAAAAGTTTGAGAGTCTGCTTTTTGTTTTTAATAAAGCATTTCGATAAATAGATGATTCAATTTTTGTGGAAGTTTTTTGTGCTATTGAGCTTGTCATCTCGTTTTTGCTCTGCATAAAAAGTAAGGATAAAAAGATTTTGCGACATAATAACCTTTTTCTAGTCGTCAGTTGTTCAATATCTCCCTCGAACATTATAGTATAGAGCTAAAAATCTTAGCATAGTCTCTCCACTACAGCAGTAATAATGTAGATGTGAAGGCTAGAGTAAGATTAAGAAAGTTTTTCTTAGTAAGACTACAGATTATTAAAAAAACCATTTTCTACATATTGGACCAGAATTCACTCTTACACGCCGCTTAAAACATGTTCTTGGCATTTTCTGCTTGAAAGATTGGCCTTCAGGGTAAATGTCTGTGATGAAAATGTCCTTCAACATTTATTTGTGGGTGTGGGATGTAGAGTGTCGATGGACACCAATTTCTACCCACATAGTGAGATAAAACTATGCATAAAACGATTCCAATGCTGAATTGCTTAACAGCGAATTAAAGAATTTGATGGTCAATTCAACAAAAAAAAAAAACAATATACGATGCAAGATTGATTACATGGAGTTTCTTTGTTTTGAGAATGAAGACTAAAATAAAATTCAGTTCGTTATAATAAATTATTGTGAATGATTACTATTATCAATTAAGTATTGCCCACGTTGTACTGGAAGGATATTTTTTTAAAAAGACGTTTTAGTCGATTAACTTGAACTAGGCTAATAGGCCAAGCCAAACCAAAGATGTTGGCCTATATAGAATTTCATGTTATTTTTCATAGTACAATTCGAAAAATAAAACGGCATCACGAGCTGAAAATATATTCGAGGATGTGACTCTTCTCTTCATGCGCAGTCACCCGTATCCTTTTATTTCTTCCTTGTATGCCTTATCATATATTGCTTTTTCTATCGTAATTAGAATTTTTTTTTGATTATATGAAAGAAAGTAGATCAAGGCTTCATGTTTGATAGGATTAGACTAAACGATCGTCCCATGAGACATTTCTTAGAGTTGCATCCCATGGAAGCAATCGATCAGAATAGATAGAATTGTACCAAAGTTACGCGGATCCCTGGCGCAGATATATTCCAAAATATTTCTGTAAATCTAGTCTTTCGTATAAGTAAAATATTTTTGATGATTTATCTCTTGTTTTTTAAATTTATTATTGTGAACAAGAGTTTTTCTTTTTTACTGTCTTCATAAAAATTAACTACGTATATCATTGAAACTAGAATGATACTTTTTTGTATGATTATAAATGGTTAGTGAACTAAAAAGAAATAGAACTATCAGTCAGCTTGGTGCATCTTGCAGCGTGGCAGTATTTTAAGTAGTGTTAGAGCCGAGGAAAGACAGTGTCTCTCCGAACATTGGGCTGATTCTGTCGAAGTTTAGTAGTTATCAAACTGGAAAGGAAGTGACCTGTTGATAACTCTAGTTTAAATCTACTGAATCGACGGTCGATTTTCGAATAGAGCAGAGATTTAATATTACATTTGATGCTTTGAAAAAAAGACGACGAACCAATGAATTACTTCATAGATTCTCATCGTTTCTAATTCAAAATTCGTATAGATTACAAAAAATAAAATAAAATTTAATTTCCTGAGTATGAATTTATGTTATTTTTTCGTTTGTTATTTAGCAGAAAATTCAAATAAGTTTCTATTCTATTTTAGGATCGTTTATTAAGTACTTATAATCGTTTACAAATTGATTCACATTTTCTTCGACGAAATAAATTTAATGAACTTCGTGATAAATATATACATTTTGCTACTGAAGAATGTTATCCAAATCTTGTTCAAATTTTTAATGATTATAATGAATGGATAAAACAACGTTCAAATATGATTCATAATTTTGAAGAAATTCAACAAACATATGAAAAACAATGTGAAAATATAAAGAATTATGTTGATATGATTGATCATCTTCGTACAGTTGTTCATAAAAATATTCGTCAGTTGGGTAATGTATCAACATCTCAGCCAACAAATGAACAATTACAAATGTCAACATCTGTACCTATGCAAGTTGAACAACTTCAACTAACAGAAAGGAGAGAAAACAATCAACAACCCCAACTATTAAATTGTGAAGAAGATAATCCAGATGCGGCAAGTAAAACATTTATGAATAAAATTCGTGGAACAACAAAACGAACTATTCAACATGCAGAAGAAAGTCTCAATAAATTAGATGATGTTATTAAGCAACTTCGTACAAATATGCAGAAAAAATGATAATAAAAATGAACCAAACAAATAATAAAAACACATACATTCCTTGTTCTTCGTATTTTTTGCTTCATATTTATGTAAATTTTCAGTTTCATATTTCTTTAACGAGTTTGTATACACAAGTATTCGTTTTGCCTTTCTTTCCTTGTCAACCGGTGAATGGCACTGATCATGATCAAGTTATATTTTGCTTGTCCTAGATCTTGCTTTTTTTTTCTTATGCCAAGAAAGATCAAAACTAGTTAAATATTGATGATCATGAAATGACTCACAGAACAGTGATTTAATTCTTTCGCTTCGTTTTTTCTTATTTTTCATCGGTATCTTTTTTGTGTCTTTTTTGCAGCGAAAATAAATGACGAAAACAAAAGCATTGAGAATAATGATCGAGTTTTTCCGTTTTGTTTCTTTTCTTCAATGTTTGCTTTTTTTTTTCTAGATGATGAATTATCATTTAAACACATAAAAAAAAACAATACATTATGTTAAATGATTTTACTATGAAGTTTCGTTTTCTTAGAAAAAAAAAAGAGAAAATATACAGTTTTTTATTTCTATGTATGATTTGTATAATTGAATACTTTGATATTGATTGGTAAAGTAAGAAAAAGAAAAGTATAATTTAGCAATTTTTTTTCTATTCATAATTTGTGTGGAAGTATTGATGACAGGTAATAAACTATAATTTGAGAAGTAAGCTGATCGATTATACTACCAAGGACCCTTATATAGAGCTGGTACCTCTACTAAAGAATTATAGGTCACAATGTTTCAAATTGATATCTAACTAAAAAGCCAGCCTTGTTCATCAGTTATATTATCAATAATCTTTCGAAATTCATCATCCGATTTATATCAATATTCAATATGGAAATAAGCTAAGCAAATATCAATGCGAATGTTAAATCTTTTCATATGTATACAATATCAAACTTTGGTTTTTGTATCGAAAAAAAATGTTAAAAATATTCTCTAAGATAAAAAAAACGAAAATTTGATTTTTTTTTTGAAATTCATTATCTCGAAACTTTCTAACTTCTTGATCTATTTTACTTATATTGTAGATCTATTCGCATTTATAAAAATGGCATCAGGTGATCACAATAAACATAAACATCATACAGAACAAGATTCCGATGATGAAAATCCTTCAGGACTTGGTTATAAAGCACCACAAAAAGTGGACATTGGTACAATTGTTGCTAAAGATGAAGATGATGAATCATTAACACGTTATAAAAAACTTCTATTAGGAAACACAAGTGATGGTAAACAAGTACAAAAAATAATACTTGAACCCGATGATCCACGTGTTGTTATGCCAATACGTATAACACTTCTATTTGAAAATCATAAGCCAGATGTAACATTTGATTTAAAAGGTTCTATGGAACATTTACGGGATTTACATTCAAAACGTTCAATAACAGTTAAAGAAGGTGAACCATATCGAACACAATTAGAATATTATGTTCAACGAGATATTGTTACTGGATTAAAATTAATTAATAAAGTATTAAAAGCACGAACAATAACAGTTGATAAATCGAAATATATGATTGGTAATGAAATTTTTTTTTTCAAACGTTTGTTTTTATTAATATATTTTTGTTAGGTTCACGTGCACCAAGTTCAGAAATTCAAACATATGTTAGCGATATTGAACAAGCACCAAGTGGCATTCTATCACGTGGTTCATTTCTAGTTAAATCTAAATTAACTGATGATGACAAAAATGTTTTTGCCGAATGGGAGTGGAATCTTGTTATTGCGAAAGATTGGCAGTAGATTATATGTATACTTTTATTTTATTCTTCTATAAACTTAAAACCTTTTGACAATTTTTTTTTTTATTATGCTAATTCTTTAACTGACATGTGTTATGCTGTGCTATAATAGAATGGCTCTTTAGATTGAACTATTTACGTGCTATTTCTTTTTGCTTACTTTTCTTTTTTTGTGTTATACGTGCATGACAAACCCTGGTGGAAAAAGGATTGATAAACAATAAGATATAGCAATAAGCTCAGTTCTATTATTTGTCTGTTTTTTATTTAAGATAAAATTCTGAGATAAAAACAAAAGAAACCGAAAAGAATAATGCTCTTAGAAAACGATAATTTTTTAACAGAATTAACAAAATTATTTCAACAACAACGTGTAAAAAATTCTGGTTCATTATCATTAGTAATGAAACGATATGATGGACGAACGAAACCAAAACCAAAATTAACTAAAAAACAACGTCTTGAAAAAAAACCATCCTCTATAAATCATCCAACAACTCATGAAGCTGTTGTTGAATATAAATGTCTTGTACGTGCAGTATATGGTTCAAAAAAATTATCAACTATTGTTTCATCAAAAGACATAAATCGTTTTCAATTGGCATATTCGAATTTATTAAAAGCAAATATGGATACGTTGAAGAAAAAAGCTAAAGAAAATAAAGCAGCAGGTCAAACATCTACTAATACAAATAGTAATGTTCCATTATCACCAAGGGTGACAACAACAACAACAACAGCATCATCCCCATCATCTGTTTCTAATCAACAAAAGAAAACTCCAACAGCACCAGCTAAAAAAAAATAAAAAAAAAAACGAAATATGATTATTTAAGATTGAATTTTATGTTGTTATTGATTTAATTGTTGTTTTTTAAAATCATGAAGATAAAAAAAAGACTATATCTTATCATTTTATTTTGTTTTTTTTAACAACAGATAAATATACAAAAAAATCATTATTAAAAATAATCAATATTTCGTGCCTTGTTAAACTTTTGTTATTTATCTAGTAAATTCAGTCTTATATTGAACTTTAAATTCAAAACTAATTAACTTGTTTTCTAGATTTTTATTGGTAAAAAAAACTTTAAATTAAAAAGTCCGATTGATGATGAACAGGTAGTGTTCATATACTAAGCAATTACATCAATAAAATAATTAACTTTTTGTTTATTTTATAGATTAATTAATTATTATCCATACGTACTTAATAATGAAGAGAAAAAAAAGATTATTTTTATTAAATGACTGTGTATATGAGTGATATCATTAGAATAATACTTCGAGCATATATTCAGTTGAACAAAAACAAAGACATATTTTTCTACATAGAAAAAATAACTAATAATACACAAAATATTATTAAGAAGAAGATGAGAAAATATGCTTACAAAATTCAAAGAACTAAAAATATTCGAATTTTTACATTATTATTCGTAGACATAGACAGCAAGACGTTTAGAATGTAGGGTAGACTCATCATTAAATAATAAAGTTCTCCTTTGGAAGTTAAAAGCGAAAATGAACGAGTTTTTGAATGTTACTTCGATGAAATATAGTTCATGTTTCTTTTATCAAATTCGCATTTTGTAGCATGTAACCGTATTGAAGATCAGAAACAAAAATGAGCAATTTACGTAAAAAAAATATGTCAATCTTCATGTTGATTGAAATATGATCTTCGAAAGGAGAGATTCTGATTTGTCTTATCGGAAAAAATGTTTAATAACGAAGCAGAAATGTTTCACATCAAGAAAATATATTACAATGGGATCTTCTTCATTGTTGAAAATGTTTAATAGATATGTAATCTTAGTCACTGAAGCCGAAAAAAAAACATTTTTGATAGACTCTAGTTAATCTGACTGAGATTTTTCGTACAGTTCTTCTTCATTTGTAATGAAGTATTCCTACTTCTAATCATTGCTGACCTATGACTGAATTTTTACTTATACAAAACTATTTGTCAGACTTTGACATATATGTGTTTAATATACAATTTATAAGTAACGATCCGGCTTATATAGACTAATTAACTGTATTTTTGTTTCAAATTATGACATACGAATACTTGTGCTAAAATTTTTAGCGTTCGAAATTTCTGCTTGTAGGATGAAATCAAAAATAATGGAATCTTTTCATTTTCTTGCAACGCATCTCTTGTGCATCATTGATTGTTTATTTTTATAGAAAAATATATTTTTTTGTTCAAACGAATATTTACTCGCAATATTATTTTTTTTTTATGATATCATCCAAAAACACAGTTCTTTCTCACTTCACTGAATCAAAACAACTTCAATAAACATGATATACTCGATATGACACATATATATATGTTAACATTTAAGATGAGATTACGTCTAATCTTAGATTGATTCAGGTGGACCTTGAATACGAGATTTTACCCGCTACATATCGAATTCTCAATAATGCCATTTGAATCAATATAATTGTCAGTTATTTTGTTAAGTTTGAATCCATAAAACTATCGATAATTTTGCAAGAATGCGGTTTTTGTGTATAAAATCAGAAAAAATGTGTTTTGAGCACCAAAAAAAACAGACAATTTGGGCACCAACGTAGAGACATACGAAATGAGCACTAAAAAAAAGAGACGATTGAGCACCAAATTAGCGATATGTGAAACGAGTACTGAAAAGTGAGACAATTGAACACTAAGTCATTTATTTATAATAAAAAACAAGAAAATATTATTATTCTAATAGACAAAAACAGTTAGATAATATATGTATAATAAATTACAACAAATATGATTACAATGAAGAATAGAAAATTTAAAAAAGCAAAGTAGATTTAACTTGTTTGGATCTACCTTTTCCTCGTCGTTTTCCTAAAATTTCTGCACGAGTTTTTTCTTTTATATCATACATTTTAAATAATATGGCTAAACCAACTGAATGTTTACATAAATCGTATTAGCTTCATCGAGAGTTTTAACAACATTCAAAAGCTCATACTCTTTCCTGGACATTTTTTATTGTTTTACAAAAATTTTTACTAGTTTACCATTATCGCCTTATATATATATCTAGCATGAGTGCTTTGTATCTCATAGTCCATGGTACCATGAGATTAATTAATATGAATTAAGCTGATCATTATTAATTAGCTATATATGTTCATATATGTGAACATGCTACTTAATTGGTTTGACATTTAATTAATCATTTTGTTGTTCCTTTTGTCATTTGGTGCTCAATTATCTCTCTTTTCGGTACTCATTTCACATATCACTTATTTTAGTACTCAAATGTTTTATTTTTTGGTGCTCATTTCGCATATTTGTACGCTAGTACCCCAAAGTCATTTTTTTTGGTGCTCAAAACACACTTTGTCCATAAAATCGTTCATAATTGTGCAACTTTAAACTTAGTTAATCAACTGATGATTTTATTAATTGACATTCTATTTATTCCTTTTAGCTCATTAATAAGAATACGAATTTGACATTATAGACGTCATACGCCACATCAAAGATTTGCCTAGGCTGATTAGACATTTGACGTTGACATATACATATATACCAGACAGAAAATTGTCAGTTCTAAAATGACGACATTTCTACGTAGCATACAGGTCACTTTACTAAAAATGAACTCCTATAAAGATAACCGTTGTCTAACTAAACGATAGTTTGTATTTAAATTATTTTGAAAACAGTTAACTATGTTTCATTCTAAAAATGCATGTTGGATATCATCAAACAAAAAGACTACAGATTCAATCCATTTAGATTAATAGAAAATTTAGTTTCTAGTCAAATTTTAAATAGTTCAATGAACTGTATTAAAGGTATCCCTTCACCGTTGCCAGATTGTTTGAAGAACGGCTCATCAGAATAATTTAAAACTTTCAGAGCAAACAGATCTTGACGAGCAGAGTAAAAGTTATCATAGACTCAAAGTTTCCGAAGACAATCTTCTATGAGATACTGCGATCACCATAGCGAAAAGTGGTTCCTCCGCTTCCCCGAGATGCTATGTTCGATCGAGATACCTATCTCAGACAGTGTATAGTATACTTGAAAAAAATTTCAGCTCGATCAGAAATACAAAATTGGAGAGAAGAGGACGTTTCTGCACTTTTTTCATAAAGAAGTTAATTTGAGAACAATGCCATTCTCTATTTCCGTCATGTATATTTGATTTTTAACATTCACAGACAATTTTTGAATCTCTAAATGTACTCATTAGATACGGAAAACAACAAAAATTTTTGTTCACGAAAGGGTGAAGGCACTTTTAAGTGAAAGTTATGTTTGTTCCTGTCCAATCATCTCTTATTTAAATTTAAAGAAAATTTTCTTAGATTTTATCTTCATCAATTGACGTTAATTTTTGGCGAAGTATTTTATATTATTATGATACATTTTTACATATATATTTCATTTAAAATCTTTATTTATTTATTTTAAAAACCATATAAATTCTTATTTCTAGATGGCTCCTAAAAAACGTCGACAACAAAATAATAAAGAAAATACAGATGAAAATGTGAAAAATATAAAACTTGATCCTATATCAATACAATCAATTATTGTAATATAATTCTAGAAAATTTTAAATAATAATTTCTTGTCTTTTTTGTGTTTCGTAGGATCAAAATCTTGAACAATTTGAAAATGATTTTAATCAACAATATAAACAATATGCGAATAACATTCAAGAAAAATTAGCTTTTGTTCATAAAGAATTTGATAAATATATACAAACACATGAATCACAAATAAAATTAGCTCGCTTACTTGATCAACAAATAACACGTATTAATCAACAACAACAAACAAATGGTATTAAAATACCACAATGTCAAGAATTACTTGATAAAACTAGTGATTTAATGAATGCGGTTAGTTTATTTACGAATTAATCAAGATTCTAAAGAACTTTTGTTTTTGCTCGATTTATTTGATAGATTCTTATTTTTCAAATATCTTTAATCAGAACCTTTTCAAAAAATATTTTTCTTTTTCTTTTAGTCATCGTCAGATACATCACGAACAAAAACATATCTTATTGGAGAATTGCAAATGTTACCAATAGGCAATGGTAATAAATGAAACCGATTGAAAAAACTGTGTCTCTTTACGTTTACTATAATATTTGTATAAGTCATTGTGTACTCCCTTCTATTTGATGTCAGATATTGTATATTTGTATGTGTAGTTGATAAATCTATATAAAAGAAAAATAAATAAAATGTCTTGAAAACTAAAATGAAGCTATGCTATTAAGTTTAATTAAACTGCCTGGATTAAATAAGAATTTCTGTGCGTTGAAGACATAATCAAAGTTTCGAAACACGTTTGAAGTAATTAATTAGTTATTACTCTTTTTCCTATGTATATATGGAGAGAAAGAAATTTATTTTATAATAATGATTGATATGAATAGAAGTTTTTCTATTTTTGATGTCAATAAAGATTAGATTCTGTATATATAAAAAGGTAGTACACTAGTTAGGTCATGTCTTTTTTGTCTAATATGTGTGATATTTATCATTTTCTTTGTTTGTATTTCTCTATTGATATATGTATGGTTGAATGATTTAAATCATGTCTTTATGAAATGTGAAACTCAAATTTTCTAACGATACCAGTGTCTGTAACTGATTTTGAAGCTGTCAACTACAATCTGTAGCTAAAAGTAGATTCAGTAAGACTGACAAAACCTTAGAATCATTCATACATATGTCTTTTCGTTCCTAAGAGATAGTTAACATTATGATGAAAACAGAGTGTATTTCTTCAATGTTTTCAACGGACCATTGCCATATATTATC